ACACCCACTGTCTCTGGTGTGGGGGCTTCCCCAGCAGCTCCCTGTCCCTTTCCCTGCCGCCTGTGAGAGGCCAATCCTTGGTGCAGCGGTGGCCTCCAGGAAGGCTGGCAGCCCCTCACTGCTATCCCTGCAGTTTGAGGAGGGCTGAGGAAGCACCCGTGCACATCCTTGTGCAATGCAGGCGCTGCTCCTCGTAGTGCTGGTGGGAAGGACAGCAGCAGCTGCCTGGCCCTGGAGGAGCCAAACAGGTCTAAAGACAGGGCTTGGTGCCCAGCCCTTGCTTGCTGCCAGCAGGGGCCTGCCTGGGGAAAGGCAGGATGCCAGAGCTCCCAAAATTTGAGGCAGCAGCAGAAAGCAAAGCAGGAAGGGCTGATGAAATTTCCTGCAGGGCCTGGGAGGTATTTACTGAAGAAACGTGCTTGGTGGCGTTCGAGTGGGGCCATTACCTTTGGCATCACGCGCTGACGAGGAGCCGCGTGGCTGCGGCTGAGGTCACGGGAGGCAACGACAGAGAGGTTTGGCTGAGCCACAGAAGGTGTAAAGGCTCCTGTCAGGGGTAGGCAGAGGTGGTGTAGGGGAACCTGGAGCTGTGGCAGGGGCCTGGGAAACAGGGGAGCTCCCCAGTGCCAAAGGGGGACAGGAGCAGCCACCCCCCTCAGCGAGGGCCCGGCTGGTGATGGAGTCATTCAGCACACGAGAATTTGATGCTTCTTCCTCACTTAGCACAAAAGTGCTGTGTCAGCTGCCCTCAGCCCCCTCCCCTACAAGCAGAGGCCTGGGAGAGCCCAGGGTTTCTGTTCTGATGGTGCCATTGGGCTTTATCAGCTGAAAAAGCATCCTGGAAAATACTCTGTGGGGCCCAAGTTCGAGGTGTGCATAAAACCAAGCGAGGCTGTAGTACTGGTCCTTCACTGTGGCAGAGATGGGCAACCTTAACCCACTTGGAGCATGCAGCTCCTCACTAGGACTGCTGCTGTCCCCATCCTGGGATGTGCCAGGCTCTTGCCAAGTATAAACCAACTCAGGCCAGCCTGCTTTTGTGCCCGATCTCAGCTGCAAACAGCTGCTGTAAATCCAGGGCTGATTTTCCTACTATTTTGTAGGATGAAGTCATCCCTGTCTGGCCACACTTGAAGGTCTAGTCATGAGTCTGCTGTGTCCCAAGGCATGAGTCAAGGGAGGGCACGTGTACTCAACACTGTGCAAGGTGTGTGTCCCTGCCTGCGGCTCGGACGCCCTCATTGCCCACCACAGCGTTTGGGGGAGATCCAGGCTTACCTCAGCCTGCACTGGGGTGTTTCTGAAGCCTGCAAGGAGTGCAAGGAAGAGAATTCAGGCCCCTTCCCAGCTCCCTGTCCCCTGCCTGTGAGGAAATTGGCTGCAGATTTAAGGCTTGTGAAGCCCCCGATTGGTGTGGCAGCCAGATGTGGCCGGGTGGGTCTGATGGACACCCCTGGCTGCAGAGCACCACTTGTGAGCTTTCTCCCCTCGAGTCCTGCCCTGACAGAATAAACCCCGATGCCTGCAGTCTGTGTGCTTACAGGGATGGGCAGGGTCTTGCAGGAGGGACAGCTGTGACTTACAGTGCTGTACCAGGCTGGCAGTATGAGCTGCTCAGCTGGAAGTAAGAGATGGCTCCTCTCACAGCTGCTCAGCTGCTGGTCAGATCCTCCAGCCTCAGCTCGCTGTTTGCTTTTGCTGACCTATTTTCAACTGCTGTGCCCAGCACATGGCTGAAGAAGTTGGGAGCTAGGGCAGCTGCTCTTCCTGGGGATTTTTCTCTCGCTGTAGGGCCATGAGTCACTATCTTTGTCAGAGCATGAAATGGAGTTTGCTTAGCCCCATGTTGGAGACCAGAAATGGGTAGGTTTGCTTATGGTCTGCTTTGCTGCCAAAAAAAAAACAACCCAAAAACAACACAGAAAACAAACCACACACCCACCCACCCCCCACCCCCAAAAAAAAAAGCAAGCTGTTTGCCTTCCAAGGCTCAAACCATACCCAGGTGCAGCTCATCCCACTGTGGATCAGCAGCACTGTGGGAAGGGCTCTGTTTGCCTCCTAATAAACAGCTAAGTTTATTATAAATAAACAGCTTTATTATAATAAACAGCTAAGTCATGTAGAGAAGCAGGAGCCACTTTCCTCTGGAGACATGCCTGACCTTCAGCTGCCATCCCCTTTGACCCTGTGAGGGCTGGAGGAGGCTGCACGGGCAGGTGGGTTGTGATCTGTGGGACGGGGGTCGCACAGGCTGCCAGGCCCATCTGAACTGGCCAGCCATGCCCACAGCCTGGCTCCTGCTGCTTGAGGGTGCCCTGGGAGGCACCAGCAGCTTTGGGAACAGCGCCTTTTCCTTTAGCCACGTGCGCCCCAGCGCTGGCACAGGGGAAGACGTCCGTCCTGCTGCCCACTGCGGTGTGCCATCAGGGTGAGTGACCCCACAGCCTGGTCCCTGGTGTGTGCTTGAGTTGTAAGTCAGGGCAAACCTTTGCTCTTACTTCTCTGTTTAAGAAATAATCCAGTTCTCACCCCTGTCCCATTCCCTCCATTTACAACCTGTGCACAAACTTGCTGAGCCAACTAAACCAGGTGTACTTCCCATCTTCGCTCTCTCGGTGCAGGTATCTTTACAGGACTCATGTTTATTTTGGATTGATGCACCTGAAATCAAGCATGGTTCATATGCAGCAGGGCTGTGTGTGTTTATGCATCCTGTTTAAGCTGAGTGGATATGGGACTGCTAATCCTTTCTGACAGGAAGGTCATCCTTGAGAGTGGTGCCCTGACAGGGCAGGCACGCGGAGCTGGGGGAACTGTGCCAGCCGGCAGGGGATGCCCCGAGCCAGGGGCTCCTCCATCTGTGAACAGCTCCTGGTTCCTCGGCCTTGACAGCAGCCCCTTTTCCCTCCGTGCTGCCTTCATCTTCCTTGGCTGCTTCTGGCTCTGATAAGGTCACTGCATCTGAAGCCTGGAGACCATCTCCATCTCCAGTGTTACTTCCAGTACCGCAGTCGTTCCTCTCTTTGCCGTAACACCGCCTGTAGCAAGGCAAAGCCCCCACAGCAGGACCTCTAAGGTCCTGAAAGGTCCCAGCAGGACCCGGCTGTGACTGATACTGTCTCCTTAGTGTCAGGTGAGATGGGTGGCAAAGAGGGACACAGCATCCATACTGTCCCTAGCGCACCTGGGGTGTATTTGTGGGCTCCTGCTTGTGCAGGGAAGGGAACGGACGCGGTGTGAGGATGAAACCCTTTCCCATAAAACAGCTGCATGAGTCCAGCCCCGGTGGTGGTGGCTGTGGGAGTGGGTAGCGTGGTGGGCTTGGAGAGGAGCCCCACAGCTCCCCATGGCAGGCACATGTGCAGGACAGCGCTGTGGGCAGTGCTGCTCATCAGGCAGCGAGAGAGGAGCGTGTGGGCCCTTGTCCTGAAGGAGGAGGAAGCTTTCTGTGACGAGCCACACGGTGCTCTGGGGACCTGCAGTGGTGCAGGAGGCTCCCAAAGGGGCCCACCTGGCAGAGGAGGCCAGGGCAAAGCTCTGCTCTGCTGGTCTACCAGCCTGCTCCCCTGGGGCCACCACGCTTTACCCATGGGTGCTGGGGTGGCCACAGATGGGGACGGTGCAGAGCTCAAGGAGAGACCCTGTTTTCATCTGTAGCCATAGTCTGTGGCATCCCCACCCCTGGCACATTCTCTGCCAGTGCTGGGACACCCTCCTCACCTCAGAGGTGACAGAGGGCTGTGGGTGCAGCCAGTGGGTTCACACTGTGCTGCATGGCCAGAGGGTCTTATTCCCATAGCTCCAGTAAAAGAAAGCAGCACAGTGACCAGGAGCACTCCTTGGCATCCCTGTGAGTTGCTGGCATGACCCTGATGGCCAGACCACTGCAGCTGAGTCCTTTCACCCACAGCCTGTCCCTGCAGGTTTCTGGGGTGCAGTGTAGGGCTGCAATCACCACCAAACATGCTGAAGCTGTAGTATCTATTTAGAATATGCCACATATTTGTTTTTAATGAGATGATATGGAGCAGTTCATACAAAAAAAAAAAAAAAAGAAACATGGGTGCTCCCCACCCGTTTGTCCATAAAGCTCTGTAAGAAATGGCCCATGCCCAGTAGCCAGGAATGCCAGGCTCAGGGCAGGGAACAACCAAGGGCAGCTGCAATGAGTGCTGCTCCAAGGGGAAAAGTGCCCATTCCGTAGCTGCTTCTGCAGTGAAGATAGCAGGTAGCAGGAATCATACCTTCTCTTTTGGTGGGTCATACAGAACCCCTTCCCAGAGGTAAGTCCACATCTAGACAAGAATCCGGATGCTGTCCTAGCAGTTTTAGGAGGGTTCTCCTTGGCAGAGCTGGCATAGCTGCAGCTAACTAGTCGAGCTGTGCTACCTCCCATTGTCCAGCTGCATGTTAAGTTGGTGCAGTTCAGGTCAGGCGCCGTGTCCCACCCCTGGGAACACAGCTGAGGACCACCCCCAAGACCAGGAGATGCTGCCTCCCTGCTGGGAACCACTAAGGGCCCTGTTCTGGCAGGGCTGTGCCTGGGCTGCTCCAGACCCGCGTGCTCAAAATCCTGGTGGCTCCCACTGAGGGACAGGCAGACGATGTCCGCTGCCCCTCCTGCTCTCCTGAGACCAGATCCAGCCCTTCTGGGCCCTCTGCCCCCTGTACCCCGAGTGGCTCCGTGGGAGTCAGGTGAAATGTCGGCCGTGCTGATGAGCTCGGCCTTCCCGCTGGCTGGGAAGAGCGCTCGGGAGGTGCCGTGCCGGGATCTGATCCCGCTGGTTCTCCCACAGCCCTTTTGCTCGCAGGTTTTCAAGGAGGGAGCAGCTTCCACCGCGGGCACCGTGCTGGACCTTGTGGTGAAGGACAGGCCAGGGAGTCGCAGCGGGTGTCCCAGAGGGGTTGTATCCCCCATCTCCTGCGCTCCCAGCGCTCTGGCCGGCGGCAGCTCCGTCCCCCGGGTCTGTGCCGCGTAGGGCGCGTCGCGGGCAGGGTCACCGCAGGAGCAGCACCAGCGGCAGGAGCAGCAGCGGCGGCGAGACGGAGATCTCGGCAGCGCCGCCGCAGTCCTGGGCGTTTTCCTGCGAGATGGGAGGGAAGGGGTCAGCCCCACTCACTGCCAGGGCGGCTGCTGGTGGAGGGAAAGGATCCCACCCCTTACCTTTGGAAAAGGGAGCAATGCCTGTGGCCAAAAGGAAAAGGGCAAAGGAAGGGACCGGTTTGATGCCTGTTGGTCACAGCAGCCACCTGCGAGCTAGGAAGCCACTTGCCTCCTTGGCTCCTAGTGGTGCCTCCTTGGGAGCTTGCTCCCGACCCTCTGGTATCTGAGCTCAAGCCCTTCCCAGGTGCTATCAATGTGTGAGGGTCCTCCTGCTCGGAAGCCCCTTGGGGATTCCCATGGCTGTGTCTGGGTCCAGCCAGCAGGACGGGCACGCGACACACCCGATGCGAGGGCGCAGGAGGAGACATTTGTGCACGGGTAACAGGCATGCCCACGGTGAAATTCAGCTGTGTGCCCTCCCTCCCCCCCACGCCACCCCAGGGTACCTCAGGGTGGAACGCGTGGCAGCTGTCCGGCCGCCGTCGCAGCTTCTGGGACCGCATCCGCTCACACTTCACTGAAGCGTTATGTGCGAGCCTGTTAAGGACAACAACGGCAGCAGCAGGCAGGGAAAAAGGGGTTGAACACAGCACAGAGACCACAGGGCCCAGATGCAAGTTTGTACAGGTGTAACTGCACGACCTCAGAGACAGAGCAGGGAGGACAAGGGAAGGGCAGGTCACCCTGCATGGGCTGGAGGTTTCTCCGAGCTGTCCCACAGGTCGGATTGTGCCCTCCAACCCCACGGCAACTGCACCAGAAGCACATTTTCCACCCTAGCAAATATGAAGATGAAGGGGCCTGTGGAGCTGTGCATCCCTGCTGGGTGTGGAAGGATATATTTGACCTCTTTCGCGTCCATTGGGACGGGTGGGAAGATGCTGCAATCACAGACAGCATCCGTGACGAGGAGCAGGAGGTTACTGCTGACGATCTGCTGTGCCACAAACATCCTGCAAGAGAAGAGCAGGTGAGAGAAAACACATCCCTCCAGCCAGAACACCAGAGCATCACTGCCTGAACCACAGCAAAGAAAACAGAGATCATCGGAAACAGTATGTCAGTCAGTGGAATGCAGGAGAGACCCAGGGAACAGACGTATGCAGCGGGGAAGTGGCACTCAGAAAACTCTGAACTGGCTCAAATTTACAACTCCATGCTAGGCACAAGAGCCAAAATCAAACCCAAAACCCAACCAACTAACCAAACCCAACACAGGATGGGGCAGCACGTCACAGTGGATGACACTGAGAAAGCCTGGTTTCATCTGGAGGTACGTCAGTGCCCATTTAACATACATTTACGTGTATGCTTATACAGTGCAAGGATGTCTGTACTATGTGGTCCTGCAAGGAGCAGTGCTTTGCTAAATTTCATGTTGCTGGAGAGAGAAACAGAGGATCCCAGCAGCACTGTACACTACATCAGTGCGATTGGACTGACCGACCAGTGTTTGAAAATCGTGCGACTTCGCTTTGCAGCCACAATTTCACCTGCCCCTTCCCCTCCCTGTCGCACAAGCAGACAGTGGCGTGTGGTGACGAGCACAGGCACGTGCCTGTGGTGGTGTCTCTGGATGCACACGCTGGCCCGAGGACGTGCACGTGAGGGCTGACCGGGCAGGCTGTGCAGGGATTGAGCGGGCAGGGCAGGATGAGGGCAGGACTTTCTGCAGGAGTGCTGTGCGTGTGAGGGTGCGTGGGCAGCTCGGATGTGCCTCTGTGCTCACGAGGCCGCTCGTGCCCGTGACTGAGGGTCTGTGCACTGGCACGAGCGCATCAGTCACAGCGGGTGCGTGTCCAAGCACGCGGGTGCCGGTGCCACCGCAAGGCGCTGCACGTCTGGGCACCTCAGCAACCCGCCCGATGGCATTCACCAGCACAGAGGCTGCAGCCACCCAAGGCAAGGCTGAGCTGCCCACGCTTGCCATCCCCCACTGCCCGCTGGCAGGATGAGGTGCTGCCGGGCACCGGTGGCTGTGCAGCCGTGGCAGGGAGCTGGCAAGCTGTCCCAGAGCTGCTGGGCTGGGGATGTCGGGCTCAGTGTGCCTGCACTGGTGGCTCTGTGCGCTCCCAGTCCTGCTGAACACCTCTCAGCAAAGAGGAGGGCTTCGGGATTACAAATACAGGTTTGTGAGGATGCGCTCACTGCACTGTCCAACCCTCTCTCCCTGGTTATTCACCACCTTGCCTTGCTGCCCTCTGGCCTCCAGGGATCTCTGTGTTCCCTTTCAGAGGTATTGAAGGTTGCACGCTGCAGCTGACCATTTCATTAGTGGCTTTTTGACTAATGACTGCTTTGGGAGCTTTGACCAGCAGGCTTTAACAAATTCACTAACCAGGACAGAGGTGTTCCACGCACTAACTTTTTGCCCAGGATGGAGCACCCAGCCCACCCTCACTCCACCAGGAACTACCTGGGCTTGTGGAACGTGATCAGGAAAGCCTGCATGCCTGAGCTAATGCTTCACAGAGCCTGTGACAGGGGGTGTGTGTGTCTCCCCCAAACACAGGAGATTCACCTGGGATCCAGAGACTGCAACTACACCTGTAATTATAAAGGAGCTGAGCAGGATGCAGCACCTGCTGCTATGACGCTGGTGAGGCGCTGCCTCCAGCAAGGAAGGGTCAGTGCCAGGCTGTGTTGGTGCAGAGATCTGTGCAGAAGGAGCTTAACAGGCCAGTTTAGGGCAGAGAGCTCCTCTGGATCTGCCCAGAGCTTAATGCCCCTACACAATACCTTGTTGTCACCAAATCTGCAATCTCTTCTGAAACAATGTTTGGCAAAGCCTGGTTTTCCTACAGTCATGCTGACTAGCACAGGCAGTTTTCCTAACCTTTAAGTCTTTCCTGCAGTTGATCCAAGACTGAAGTCAGACTAGGTAGGCACTTTTTTTTTTTGGATGCCTCATGTTAGGAAAAGCTGTGGAAATTCATCTTTCTGTCACCTTTCCACACGTGATTGCTGATGGCACTATGGAGCCACTGAAAACAACCTTTTTCCACTAAGGTTTTTCTATCTAACTTTGTGCTGTTCATTCCCTTAAAATGAAACTGGAAAATACAAAAGTGGACCCTTGTTTTCGTTTCTTTCAGTTTAACGCTTCTTTTTTTCCCCCCATTCCTGCTTTTTGTTTTTTGTTTCTGTAGGAAAACAGAAAAGGGGTAAAAGGAAAAAAAAAAAGAAAAGGAAAGCCAAAAGCAGTGCAAAAAGGAAAATTTTCTAAGAAAACCTTTGCCAGAAGCATGAGAAAACAGAAAAAGTTCCTTTCTGAAACTTGTGGAATGGAAAGATTTTTTTTTTTTTTAATGCTCTTTTCTTCAGCTACCTCTGCTTATTAACAGATGGTTTTAAATTCTCTTCTCTTTTATCAAGAACCAGTAACTTGGTCTCTTCACCTCCTCCCTGTCCAGCACAGCTGTTTAGCTCTGCTCTGCAGCCAGAGCTGGAGGTTATCGTGGTGGCCGTGCCATGGCCAAACAGCAGGTGACTCTTCTCAGGTTGCTGTCATCACCAACGGGCCCTATGACAAGGCCGGTGTCCCATCCCCGTGGGGGACCCCCCCAGATGAAAGGGAAGCTGCAGTTCTTACTTTTGGCAGTCTCCACACTCAATCAGCCCGTTGGTCTCCTTGATGGCCGGCTCGTACACGAAAACGGGGTACTCCGTGTCACAGGGCTGCAGCGTGTCGTGCTTCTTGTGCTTGTGAGCTGCCAGGGCAAGGAGACAAGGTGAGACGTGAAGGGCAGGGGGTCACGCAGGAGCTGCCTGCACTGAGATGGAAACATTTCAAACTGGTGACACAGCTTGGAGGAGCAGCCCTGCGTGCCTGCTTACCCCCTCAAGAGTGGCCGACCGAGAGCAGGTGCCTACCAGAGAATAATGGGAAGGAGACGCTGCATAAAGCAGCCAGCAAGTGATCCCTGCTCCCACTAGGTGGTGTGGGAAAACCAGCCTATGTGAGAAATGCACACAATATTGCCACTTGGCCTTCCCTTAGCAAGCCCAGACCCTGCTGTGCCCAAGCCACAGCTGTGGGGCTGCAGTGGCCACAGCAGCCCAGGGACCCCTGCCTGGTAGGAAGGGTCATTTGAGCACTGGTCCCCTTCTGTTCAGAGGAGCAGCGGGGTCCGACTAAACCAGCAGCATTAATGAAGTCCCTCCTGCCTAACTCAGCCCTGGTTCACTTTTTTAAACACTGAAACCTGTGACTGGGCTGGTCCTCAGTGCCTGTGCCAAGTGATCTGTCCCTGCAGGAACCCGGCATGTCCACGGTGGGATTCATCAACTCCTGATCCCTCCTGAGCCCTCTGACGCTTCAGAGCGAGCCCACAGCAGGAAATGTGAGGGGTTGAATGTGTCTTTCTAAGAAGAAACCACCGCCAGCAAACAGATCTGGCCTGAGACCACAGGAAAGCAGATGACGGCTCTCAAGGACCAGCAGAGACCCAGCTCACACACAGCAGTGGCTCCTGGAGGGAGCCATCCACCACAGAGGCAGGGAGCAGCTGCTCCATCACTCATCAGTCACACTCTGTGGGACTTCCAAACTAATTTGGGGATGGAGGGGGGGGAGCTGGACCGCCTTATTAAGCCTCCCTCGAGAAGCAAGAGCATTCTTTCTAGGAGTTCAGCAAAATCTGTCTTGCCTGAAACTACCGCCTTGGGGCCTTCTGGCAATTATTTTCTGCAGTTGGAGGTAGCAAAGCCAGCTCCTGCCTCTGTGAGGCACAGGGGAATGCTGCCGATGGAAACGCCGAGCTTTGTTGCTAGGGCAGAGGTGGTTGCAGCTCAGCCAACAGCGAGTTATGAGAAATGGTTTCTACATCAGCTTTGGGTCTGAGCACGAAGCCTCACTTCGCAGCCCCCCCTCCCGCACAGCAGCCACGGGCAGCCCTGCCGGGGGGCCGGGTGGGGACCAGCAGGGAGGAGGGGAGGGCACCCGGTTTCTGATGGGGAGGGCGCCCGGTTTACCCCGTGCAGCAGAAGCGCTGGAGATTTACAGAAAAATGCAGCATCACGGGTTTTAATCAGCAAATGTATGTTAAGAAGGCACCAAGAGGGCACCACGATTCCGACGGGTAATTTGCATCACTGTAGAACCCTCACTGAGAGCAATGGTCTCCTCTCCCCCGCGACGCTGCCCGAGCACGCAGAAAGCAGCAGGCACCACCCGGTGGAGCTTGCCGTCTAAACAATGTGGATTAAATGGGAAGGAGAAAAAATGGATGATTTTCTCTGATTTTTCTTTCAGGAACTCCAGCCCAATTTCCCCTCTAATGCCTTTCCCGGGTGAATATAATGGGTACTCAAACCCTTCCCTGCAGTACTGAGTCCTTGGTAGGGTTTTTTTTTTGTGCTTTTCTTCTGAACTCTCAAAAAACAGCACTCAGGAGGCAGCCCCCTAAAATCCTCCCAGACTGTGGGGCCCACCTGTCGGTATCATGGTTAGGTTAATTTTGCACAGATGCAAAAGCACAAAGAGCATGATTTCAGCATGGTGCCTTGTTTTGTATTCACCTTGGATTTACACTGAATTAATCAACTGAACTCATCATTTCAGGGGCTGCCATCAGCCAGGAGCTGCCTGGCTGTGCTCTGCCACCCATTTGCCATCCCTCTGTGTGAACCCCACACTGCAGAAGCACAGAAAAGCCTCTCCCATTTTTTGTTAATGGAGAATGCCTCTGTCACAAGGACAAACAGCCCTGAGGAGATTTGGGATGAGCAGAAGAAGACCCTGTTTCCGAGGTGAATTTCAAAGGCTTAGACATTTCTGATGGAACATGCAAAATATCCCCGTCTGTGTTGCAAGGAGAGAAGCTGCAAATGCTTTCTAGCTCAGACCACCTCCAGGACTGGTAACTATTCTGGCCAGTAAAGTCCCTAAACTAAGACCAACGGAGTGTGAGGAACAGAGTGGGAAACCTTTCTTTCAGCCCTAATTCACTGTTGTTGAGGCTGGGAAAGCAGCTCAAACCCTGAAACAGGTGGCCAGGCCAGTCTGGACCAGGAACAGACCTTCTCAAGGACATGCCTGTGGCAAGACTACACACACTGGTCTTTCAGCCACGAGTCCTGTTGTGTTACCCCTGGATTTGCATCACCGTCACTGCAGCACAGCTGTTGGCAATGGACTGTGCCATTCTCGCTCAGAAGAGTTGCTGTGATGACCACAAAGGTGACCTGGTGAAGGTGGGGCAAACTGCTTGCAAGAATTTAGCATACTGCTCATGTCAGGAGCGGCAAAGGGTCCTGACATAAAAGGGATTTCACCCAGGACCTCATTTTTCCCCTGTCCCTGGTAAAGAAGAATGACATCCCTCTCTAGCTCCCGCTTCCTGTTATAATATCATCAAAGCAGATGGAGCTACAGTAACATCAAATACAGTGGTGTCAAGGACGGGGTGCAGGGAGGGGGTGAAAGAGACCATTTCCTCTTGGAAAACACAGAATGGAAGTTGATCTCAGGCCTCCCAGCCGCAACCAGCAATGAATGAGGGCTGTCATGCTGGTCTTGGTGAGCTTGGAGAATGGCCTTGGGCCTCAAGGGGGATTAAAGAGACTGCATGTCCATACCTGGACAGCACTGTTTGCTGGCCTGACCTGCACACATGGGCAAGAGCTCTGGACACAGGACTAGAGAGGCAACACTTGGTTGGTAATTCTGGGTCGAACTATGCCATGGTGGTGCTCACAGGAGCAGTGTGTGCACTGGGAAGTGCACCAGGTTTGGTTCCTTCAGGTCCCCTTTTGCCATGGGCATTATGGGCTACGTGAGTCTCAGAAGGGGCATTTCTGGTTGAGTCTTTCATGACCCTCTGCAATTTGAGTTGCTCTGGGTTAACTTCAATGTTACAATACACCAAGCTGTATTTTTAAACTCTGCTAAATATTCACAAGTGCCCGGCACAGATAATTCTTACTCGGATTTTTTCGGCACAAGCTGAACGAAAAGAAACCACTTTAAAATCTCCTAACTTCTGCACAGAGACAAGACCTGTGACAGAGATTATGCTTAAGCCTACTGCCACTTAATTCTCTCGGAAGCAATGCAGTTGCAGCAGTATTGAGAAGTTCAGAGAAGCCCAGTAGCATGTCCATCATCAGCAAAACGCCTGGGCTGAGCCTCTCAGCGCACATGCTGGACATCAAAATGTTATCAGCGCCCTGAGAGCCTGGTGGTCAGGGATTAGTAAACAGCCAGAGGAGCTGATAACATACTGCAAACTTTATAGCAAAGAGTGAGTTAATTCCAGGCTGTCGTTGCTACCATCTGCACTTCCAGAAAGACTTTGTCAGACATTTGGCAACCAATCCTTCTGAGCAGCAAAGGCAGCTGCCATGCCTTGTTATGAACTATGGAGCCCAGATTGTGAACTCTTTCCCACCAGCATAAATCATGCACCCGAGTCAGTGGATTTACCCTGGGACACGAGACAAAATCTGACACTTAGTTACCAATAAAAAACAGAGAATTTGATCAATTATCTTGTAAAATATCCTCTGTGTACATTACCATGCAGTAAAAAAAAGGGAAACTTTTATGATCTACAGAATTCTAGAAATAGTCCTTTCTAGGCTGCATGCCTTGGCTGGAAGTATTTTTGGCCTAATTAAGAGCTTTCAAACCTGGTGATGTTCATAAAAGCAGAAGCTCTTACAAACACAGAAAGAAATTAAGATGCTGAGAGCAGTGAAAAATCTACGGCAGCAAACATGTCTTCTCACCCCCTCTGAAAAGCAGATTTGTATGATGAGTGCAGTCTGAATATATCACACCCATATTCCAACAGCAAGACTCACCTTCACAAGAAACAAGAGAACTTACTTGGGAAGCAGCAATAGGCTCAGTGCTGCAGAACCAGAGGTACAGAGTCAGGCAAAGGTAAGCATTAGATCCCTGATCATTAATTCCCCTGCACATAACCCAGAAAAAATGTGTGCTCAATTTCTCTCTCACAAAATGTCTCCTTCGCTTCATATTTTTTGCATACACCAGCCTTGGCACGCAGTCAAGAAAATGTTAACATCTCTGGCAAAAATCTACAGCCCCTTCTTAACAACATGTGCAATCCATTTCTTCCAGCCCTGATAGTATTCTTCCACCCTGCTACTCCCCCACACACATGGACACTCATTTTTTTATCTGTGGGCACCCTCTCCTTCTCTTCCTCTTTTTCATACAGTGAGATGCATTCCAACTGTCTCTGTTTCTCTATCTCTGTCTCACACATACGTCTTGCTGGGCAGAGAGCAAATCAGCAAATACAAGCTAGATATGGAAGCAGGGAGATACAAACGCAGCCACAGTCTGGACTCCGTCTTGGAGGAATTTCTCACTCGCCTGTAGGAGCAGATTTATGAGCTAGAGCATATACTTATCAGTTGAACTGCTTGAAAGCAGTTTTGCATTATCCTGGAGCTGGGCTGGGATTTATCAGAAGGAGCTAAGCCATGGGGTGTGGAAAAGACGACTTAAGTTGCTTCTTAATAACTGAAGTCTATGAGACTCGTATAGTTTTTCCTGCAAGAAGGCGTGGGTTGGTCTTTCGTTTTGGGATAAAAACTGAAAAGAACAGGCCTGCTGGGAACCAAGGTGAAGGACATGCCATGGTACACAGGCTGTGGGCTCAGCTATGCCATAGCAATGAGTGATGATGTTGTCTGTGACTGTAGTCCCCGAGGAGGCTTGTGTGTTCCTTCTTTTATCAACTTCTCAGTGACAGACCTTCAATCACCAGCTCAGCCAGCTAAACGAGCAGCAGCTTCTCTTGCTTCTTTGCAGAGCAGGGAAGTAGAGCCAGGCACTGCCTCGTCCCTGTCACACCTTTCTGCAAGTTCCCCACTGTCCAAATGGTGGAAAAAAGTCTTTCCTAGCCTGGAATTTCTAGTTAGTTATCTTTTTTTTATGTTGTTGTTAAGTGGTTCTACTTACAATGATGGAAGACAGCCTTGGCTGGAGAAGTCCCGTGACACACAGACACAAAATGATGATGGAGCCACATGACAGTTCCACATGATGGCAGCGCAGTGAAGACATGGATTCACACACAGCAGTCATGGAGATGATGTGGGAAGGAGATGAAGAAAGCACAAAATGAAGTGGTGATGAGCAGGGCAGCAGTGAGAACCCCCTCCCTTTTCCCTCACATCTCCTCAAGCAAAGACTAAATCAAACTGCAGCCGCCGAGCACCCACAGCAGCTCAGTGCAGGAACACCAGGTCAGTCTGTCCTCCAGAAAGAGCAGTCTCTCCTGTCCTGGCATGAGCACTGCACTTGCTCATCTGAGTCCTTCTCACTGATTTCTGCATGGGGCTCCCCCTGTTATCCTGGCAGCAGCAGCCAGGGCCACTTGGAGGATAGCTGCAGCTTCTACTAACATCTCTTTGGAGGAGGTGAGTGGGATCTAAACAGTACCCAGACATAGGCCTTGTTTTCTGAGAAGAAGGGAATTTTGCTTTCTAAAAATGAGTGTTTCCCCATTACACCAGGACAGTTCATTGCAGAAGACTCATCCCCACAGTTAGCATAGAAGGTACCACTCTCTCCACTAAAATAGTGATCAATAATTAGTGAGAATGCAACAACAACCCTTACAGGGCTGCACAGAGCACACCTCACCTTTTCCCTGGAGTCTCCTCAGGGCCATTAACATGCCCCATGCCTGCAGGGCCAGGGATGGGACCATGGAGAGTCCCAGGATGTTTCCAGCAGGCAGCACTACTGCTGCAGGACAGATCACTGGATTTCAAACCAGACATACCCCCCTGCTGCACAGTACCATGTCCCATCGTCTTCTCTCTTCCAGAGTAGCTCCAGTGGGTAAGTGAAGACCCTCAACGTGTTATTGAACTGTAAGGTTTGTGTCTAGCTTCCTGGAACCCCTGCTAGGCTCTGGAGAGCCTCCTGCTCCAGCCCTGCTCTGTCCTGTCCTGTCGGAGACTGGAAGGGAGTCTTTCCAGCTGAAGTGCTTTGCAGTGGATGGCCTCTCTCACCCCATTGCACACAGGGTAGGGGTCCTCAGAGAGAAGCACCTCCCACCTCCTCAGTAAGTCACCCTGAGGAAAGCAAGCTCTGAGCAGCACACACCTCACCCTGACCGCTCTGGTGCCGTGGCAGCCTGAAATGGGGGTGGAAACGGGGGAAGATGTAGTGGTGGTGGGATCTGGAAGCTGGAGGACAGTGTCCGTGGAGGAAGAGGTGTGGGGCACATGGCGGGCTCCTCGCACAAGGCCAGGCTTCCCCATACAGTTTCTTCTGTCACCCGTGGCTGTAACACTCACGTGCTATGGGGTGGCTGGACTCTTGTGTACTCACCATCTGCCAAGTTGTTTGAGTGCCAGAAGCTACTCATGTTAAACTCCAAAAGGAAGCTGTCAAAAGAGCAAGAACAGAGGATGCTTTTTCAGCAGCCTGAAAGGATGCAGGTGTCAGGGAGATGGCCCTGTCGCCCGGCGAGTATCAGTTCTAAAATGTTTACTGCAAATTTGCTGGCAGTGGAAGTCTGATTTTTTTTTAAAGTTTTTTTTTTTTCCTTTCCATATGATAGAGTGTAACTCTGTATTGTGGGATCTCTACTGTGGAATATGGGAATGGGTTTTTTCCTGAAGTATATACAGAGTGAGGGGCTCGCCAGTGAAGGAAGGAATGAGTACAGCAACTCCTGAGGCTGGGAGGGGATTCAGTCACTGTGGGCCCCACCTGAGGAGCAGGCATGGATGGCCATCAGAAGCCCATACTCTGGCTACTTGGAGGTAACTACATGCCACTTTGAATTATTCTGCACCAATAGGCTCAAGCCCTCTGAGCTGGATCTTTTCCCCATCTCCCCTTCTGCACACCCAGCAAGCGGAGCAGTGGCACTTTCATCCTAATTTGAGCTTGAACTCTGATTCACCCCAGGAGTTTGAGGGGAACCCAAATCTAGAGGAGAGCCTCCCCTCTCTTCTCCCTTGCCTGTCACTCAGACCTGACCTCCCTAGTTTGCTTCCTTCAGCCTTCTCCCCCTGAAAGGCAGGTTTGCATTCGCTCATCACGGGCAAAGGAGACAGGCAAGAGGACTCAGCATCAAGGATCTGCACAGGGCCCCAGGAGACCCAAGTCCTATTTCTGACTCAGGCACTTTGTACTGAGTGACTTCAGGTAAATCCCAGACCCACTTTGGGCCTCTGCCTCTCAAAATGGGAATAGTAATAGCTTTCTGTCTCCCAGGAGCAAGGCTGAGCTGAATGTCAGGAGAAGGCTGACAGCAATGCCCTACGCAGGAGCCTCCTCTTGCAGCTTTCTCAGCTCTTGCCCCCGTTGCTCTGAGCCTCCCAAACACCCCCATCTTTTGGTACTCACATGAGGAAATCACTTATCAGCCATTTCACTGCAGCTAGAAAGGCATAAATTGGCTGGAGAACAAAAGAAGAAATGAGAAATACCATAAGGACCTGGTCAGAGAATTTATAATTGTTATGCAGGACCCCACATTTCAGACCAGTTCCCTCCATTGATCAGAGCTCTTGAAGACAGGCTGGAAATTCAAGGTCTGGGCATCACTGGAATTTGTTCAAAATGTTTTGATGTAAAAAGCCAGCAGAGCTGCCTTGCTACCAATAATATCTTCTCACCCCCTCCCCATCAGGGTCAGGGAGTTTATCACAAATGCATGAAGGACTTTGAAGATGTAATTGCTTGATGATTTGTCTCCAGTATGGATGACCTTCAGAGCTCAGAGCAGGAGAGAAACACAGCTAAATGGGACACCACCAGTTTAGGATGCTTTTATGTTCTGATAGCAAGTGGTGTTTCTGGGACAAGCCCAGGATTTAGTATTATCTTCCATTGATTGATTATGCTTAACTGTGCTTTCATCCAGCTTTTCCTCAAGATGGCATGACTTCTATCATCTTCCTGCTTTTCAGCTACAAATTGGAAATCCAGCATTATCCCAGGGACAATTCATCTGCAGAGGATCCTGCTGCTTCTTTTCTTCATGGTAACCATGTCTAATTTTCATCTCTCTCATAATCATGCCCGTGTCCTCAAACCCAAAACAGATGCAGTAGTCATAGGACACAAGACAATGTTCCATTATGCTAACTGACTTATCTTCAGCCAAAATAAGTCAGCAAATAGTAAAATGTAGAGATTATTGGGAATTTGACTGATTCTTATGTGTGTATATGAAAAACACACTTTTCCTGATTTTTTCCTTTTCAAGGGTTTTGCTAAGAGGGGAAGATGAGAGATGAAGGCTGAACGCTCACCTTTATATTCTTTTCCCAGTTCACCTTGTTTTTGACAGCTCATATTTTGTGACAGTAATCAGAACTGGAGGATATGCTCAAGCAAATATTTTCACTACAATCACAATATTTTATCTAGCTTAAGTACAGCCACTCCAAAACAGACTTGTTGTTAAAAATGTAACATGTTGTTAAAAGAGTTAAAATCTCTGCTTAGGGTTGTGTCAACTAGTTTGAAGTGGCCTAAGTGTTGAGTAATTACTTTGTTCTGCCTGTTTGAGGCCAGGTTGGGAAAGTAGAGTGGGATTAGATTCTTGGTTTGTATCAGCCTAAAGAGAGGTTGCATTTGGGCACTGGTAAAACTCCTCCCTCTGTCAGTTTGTTCCCTGGGCTATCACCACTCCCTCTGTTGCTCCAACTCCACTCGTACTTCCCCAAATGACTGTCAGTTTTCTCTCAGATGTTCCCCGACAGAGCAACTCTCCTTTTTGAGCTGCTGAGCAAAACCATGCCCTGTAAAAGGATTCTTGTTCATTTCAGCTGCTAGCTGGTTCCTTGGCTTTAAGGGGAAGCCTGCCATGGTTTAGTTCATGTCCTCTCCCCGATCCTTCCAATTTTCAGTAAGATCCTATATGCCAATAGAAATCCACATTGGAAACCACAGCCAGAGGCCACCACTGCCTCAGAAACCATTCCCACCACTTGAAAGTAAACGTCTTTTGGGGAATGTGCTGCCCCAAGGTGCTGGAGGTGCCCTGGGAGAAAGCCCAGCCCAGGGAGGGCTGCACGCTGACGGATACGTACGCTGAGCAGGGGCCGGGCGCCGCTGTGGTGGTGGTAGGGTACCTTGCACATTGCCTGGTAATCATACATGGTCACCCTGCAATCAAAACAAAACAAGCCAGCAGTCAAAAGCAAGCAATGCAACTGCCTATGGGACAGACACGTCAGCTTTTTCTAAAAAATTTCATGTGTGAAATATTTCCTGTATGAACTAAAGCGGTGACCTGCTTACACGTGTCTTTGCTGTTGGGCCAGGGCTGGATCTTGCAGAGCAAGAAATACAGGCTCTGGATTAATGCAACTGGGTCAGAAGGAAATATGTCCCTAATTTCAGAGGGTGAGTAAAGCAGGCTGTGAAGCAGAGGAATTATGATTGTAACTACCTCAGGGTCCCCTGATTCCTGTTTTCAAGCCACTGAAACTGAACTCTCCTTTGACATCAGCTGGGGGAGCGGACTGAGATGAACAGAGGTATTTTTAAGATAGAGAGAATGTGGTCAGCCAGCTGCAATGCTGCATCTTGGGGGGCTCTCAGACAATCCTTCTGTGGAAAGGCTTTTCCGAGTGGCAGGAGGAACTGAAGCACTTTTGTACCCAAAATGGCAAGAAACGTTTCCCCTAACATCTTGCCCTGGAAAAGACAGAGAGAAGCAGCTACTTCCTGGCCACATGGAGATTGGAAGTTACTGTGTCTCTCTGTGTTTTGCAGCAGGTGGAAGAGCAGGAGATGAGGAGAAACAGTGTGTGTGGTGATGATGGCTGAGCCAGTCGGGGGAGGGGGCAGGTAGCTAAAGGAGCTCTTGTTTCTAAATAAGAGAGTCACATGCATCATCAGCATGTGCATTTTCCCCTGCCCAAGTGCTTCTCGGAGGCACCAGTATGCTCTGACCCACACACCAGCGAAGAACGAGAAGTACAGCGCAGAGATCCCCCACTTACCGCCTGAACATGCCCATGTTTAGCAGCTGGGTCATTACTGAGCCATCCACTGCACCAAAAAATTTTCCAGTCTGCAAGTACAAAAAAGGAAAAAACAGAATAAACTGACAACAGTAAATTTTCCAAGTGCTCAAAGGCTCCAGCCGATCTAGTCTGTCTGGAGGCCTACTATGCACAACGAGTGTTTTATAAGGAGGTAACGCTGAGCTTTGTCCTTTGGCTGCCTGGAAAGCTTGAGGGAGGACTTCCCCCATCGCCAGCTGGGCATCCTGCACCATTCCTACCACGCTTGGAAATGATTTAGCCCACATAAGTCCCTGCAGCTTGTGACAGAAAAAGGCAGACTCACAAGCTGCAGAGACCCAGGCATGTTGAGTCACCGGAGGCCTGGGCTCTCCTGTGGTTTTTTGGGAATCCATGTTCTCTGGATCTGAATGCCTGAGTCTTCCATTTGAGCTGCTCTGCTAGCCCAGACCACCTCTCTGCTAGCCCATGGCTTTGGAAACTTTGCTCTCCTGCTGCCCTGGGTGAACTGCCCCACCACGTATAAGTGCGATGTACAGATTTCTTTAGGGAGCAAACACAATTTTCCAATGCACTGCTGTGCAAGCTCTGAGACTGAAGTAACCCAAACAACCCAACATGAAGCCATCCATCCCTTTAGCTTACACACTATGCACTGGCAAAGCCAAAGCTGTTGCACAGGCTCCACCCTAGTAGAAGTTGCATCTGGCAGGGCAACAACCCACCCATCCCACTTGCATGCCTGGACTAAAAGACAAGCTTATGGTCTTCTGGTCACACCTTGGAGTCAATAACCTCAAATAAAGACCCAATCCCAAATCTGGGAACTGCTGCTTTAAAGGTTTCTTCAAACACACAGCAATACTAGCTTTCCTGATTACTAAACCGTGACAAATCTATTGCAAAAATGCTTCAAATCTGTCGAGTCCACCGCTTTGTTTGCAGGCAAGTAAATAAAATATTCATAAATAATAAAAACGCAGATATGAGCCGTCCTCTGTCTATTTTCCTGGCTCAGGGATCCTGACACAGTAAATAGCTCCCATGTGTTATGGAAGCATTCACGCAGTCTGGGGGGGATGTTTTGCTTTCCCACTGATAGGCTAGCAGTCATTTAGCATGTATTAGCAGATGACAGATGACTTCATTTATTTGAGTGGGACATTTTATTTAAAAAAACCTGAAGCCTTAGGCAGATTTACCTAAGATCACATGGCAATCATCTAAAAGTAGTGTTACATGGTTATGAGCTTCTTCCCAACAGGCTTTAGAAGTCATTTCACTGTATAAATCAATACGTAACATCAACTCCGAGCATTTAGGCTGTAATTGTCTCAGACATAGTAAAAGGTGCCTGAGCAAGCACTAACTTTTTTCACTGTCCCTGCTCTTTCAATCTGATTAGGGTGGTGAAGATGCCAGCTGCTTCCATTTAATACCAGTCCGCAGAACCAGCAGGAGCTGGAGTGGTGGGATTTAACACAGTGCAAGCTGCAGACAGTCAATGGCTCCTGTCCTGTCAAGAGATGCTGATGTCTGACCAAATTTCTCCACCTAGGATGTCATTCCTACAGGTAAAAGAATGAGGAGCTACCAGTGTAAATGAGAGTATAGCCTAGGCAGTGTGTTCAGAAAAGCATCAGCAAACTGGCCTTTAACATGAAACCAGACATTCAAAGCTTGGTATTGTTTTAGGTACCCTGTGCAGGGAGTGACACAGAAAAGCATCACTTGGTAGAAACCAAAGTGGTCCTGTACTGGAGAAACATTTTGCAAAAGCAGCTCTCATTACAACCTGCTTCCTCCAGCGACTGCTGCTCTCCTAGGCATCCCTCTGCTGTGCTTCTCCTAAGTCCCATCCCTGGGCAAGATTCCACAGGCCCTTGCAATGTCAGAGGTTCACAGCACAAAGCTGTGACATCCGGCATGACACACGCTGTATCTCATCCCCCTGCACCCAAGTGACACATGCTGTGTCACATCCTGCTGCAGCTGAGTGTACAAGCACACATGCAGGCTATGCACAGGAAAGAGATGCAACCCCGAGCACACATATGGCTCAAAAGCTACATCACTGCTCACAGGCATACACACACCCCCCCTTTGGCTGGCCTGTTGAGCAATTTACACTTTTTGTACACTCAAAAGCTGCAGACAAACAGGGTCTGCCAAATAAGCCAGGCTTTGGGAAAGCAGGCAGCCTCTCTGTTGCATGGCTCAAATGGCCCTTGCTTCTCCACAAGCTCTGCCCAGCCCTGGTGGGACCTTGGCCTTCTGGCTGCCCCCTGCCCCCTGTCCCTGGAGTCCCACCTGGGCAGAGCTTGCAGACAGACATACCCTGCAAAATGCCTCAGGGAGATGGCAGCAGTCCTAGAAAAGAGGTTTAGTGAGTGAGGGAACATCTGGATGCAGCAGGCGGAGGGAGCTCAAGACCTGTGATCCACAGCTGTGCCTACGACTGGCAAGGGAAGGCAGCTAAAAACTCCGGGGTGGTTGTGGGGCCACGGCTGCAAACACTGGCCGAAACACAGAACAGAGCAGCCCTCCCTGCAGCACAGCCTGAGCCTGCCACCCACCTTCCTTCCCTCCCCTGCTCTAGATCACCTTGCCCTCTCCCTCACTCACTCCCTTCTCCTGACTCTGGGTTTTAACTCTTCGCTTCCTCTGAGCCAGATGGTGAGATATTAGCTCAAATTAAGAGATTAATTACCCACTCTTCTCCAAGTAATCCTGCCAACCCCCCATTCCAATCCCCTGTCCCAAAGGGCAGAGGGGAGTAGGGCCTGAGCCATGCTGTCCTCTCCCCCTTCCTGAGGGAACTCATTCAGATAATCACAGAATATGCTGAGTTGGAAGAGACCCACAAGTGGTCACTCAAGAAGGAGGTGCGGTGGGCAGTGGGCAGCTCTGTGCAGGCAGTGGGCTGAATGCAACATAAAACACCACAGTCCCAAAGGAGCAAGCAGAGAGATGGAACAAAACCTCTCAGAGCCCACAGAAAGGGTCTCCAGCACCAGCTCCTGGCTCGGGGGCTGTAAGGACACAGGCACTTTGGCACCTTTCTGCTATTGTTACCTTCCACTCTGCCCTGGGATGTAGGCATTTGGATATGAAAGCTCCTCAGCTGTCTTCCTGGGGAAAGCAGGGATGTGCCTGGGTCCCTGCTGGTGCTGGAGCTGCCGCAGCCCGCATGGCCCAGCAGGGTAGATGGTTCACCTGTGCACCCTCATTCCTTGGGCATTCCCTGAGCTCACTCTCACCCCATCCAGAGGGGCAGCACAGTGTGCAGGCGGCTGCCCTTCTCCACGCTGCTGGGCTGAAACCCTGACCCAGGCAGCTGAGCCACTTTTGCTGGTGAGACCAGCAGTGAACTAGCTGACTTCTCCAGAATGGCAAAATACCCACAAAAATCCAGGTATGGGATTTTTTTTTTTTTTCACATTATGTTAAAGGATGCACTGAGGAAAGAGTGTAGGATGGGGCAGGGAAGGCCACACTGCAGCAAATGATCCCATGAAGAAAAATCCAGGTCACATAGCTATGAAAACCAGAGTATTGATTTAATGCAGCTGCTGTCTTGAATTCCCTGTAGGACTTAATGGTGTGGACACTCATGGTGCCACCAGGAGATAAAAACAGCAACTGGAACAAGATAAAGAAATCAGAAGAAAAGTAGTGGTGAACCCTCTGAGGTCAGTGGAGGTAACAGCTGGAGGAGGACAGCCCTGGTGCCTGCCAAAATGCCTGATCTTGGAGTCACTTCGATAATGTTTATAATTTACCCAAATCCACTATAATGCTATGTCTCTGCTACTCAGATTTTTCAGAGATGACCTTTGGGAAAACCCATTTTCCATAAGATGTAGGAAAAAATACAGAGACAGAACCCAGGAGGATGGTGTTGAGGACAAACGAGAGACATAGTAGCTAAAGGGTATAGTTGTCTCCACTGATGGACACATCATGAGACTCAGTAAAGCACCTTTGAAAATGCCATGGGAGTCATAAGAGGAACCATCAATTCCTTAAGACTATCAGCCCATCCCAGACATGGAGTAGGGTAGGAAGCCAATACAACATTACAGCACTTCCCTCCCTTATTTTTCTAGTTTTCTTTGCTTTGGTGTGTTTGGTGTTTTTTGTTTGTTTGTTTGTTTTTGTTGTTTTGTTTTGGTTTTTTGTGGCACACCACAGAATCGAAAGGGCCGTTTTACTGGACTATTCAGTGTACTGGGTAGGTCACTTTCCTACAGAAGAGAGATTGGTTGTTCCTTGCAATATGCCCCCTGGATATCTGCCCGTATCACCCCCTGCTGCCACTGCTGCCGATTAGTTTTGCTCTGTGAGTCTCACCAGTTCCCTCCTGGCCTCCCTGAGCTCCCTGTGCCCTGCCTGTGGGATGCACCATCTCACCTTTTCCTTTTGCCAGCCTATTCTGAATATGCTAAACAACACAAGTCTAGATGGGAAACCATGGGACTCAAATAACTGATGTTTTCTGTCTAAATATCCATCTAAAAATTCCCCTTCTTTCTTTTCTGTCCCATCTACTTTGAGATCAATGCTGCTACTTCACGCTTCACTCTTTCACCAGAACTTTTTCAACAGCCTCTTGTAAGGGAGGACTCTCTTCGAGGCTGAACAGAACTGAAATGCAGTAGGTCACTCAGCCTCACTCAGCCTCCCTTATATTTTGATTTTCTCACTTTCAAAAAATATAGGTTGTAAGTGTTCTTCCTTATAGAAGCTGTGGTGCTTGTCCCAGTCACATCTGTTGGGAGTTTTGTTACCTTAGTTTCCATTTCAACCTGTTTGTCACATCCTGAAGAAAATAACTTCTGGGCTTGGATCTACTGCCCCTTGGAAATACCCAAACTGTATTTGTTAACTCCAGTACAATGGCAATTTTAATGAAAATCCACACTTCTGACAGTAACAAACCTGCTTCATTTCCCATTTTTTCTATAAGACCACTCTTACTACAGACTTATTGCTTTGCAGTTTATGAGACTGTTCTAACATATCACTTTCTGACATCCAGAACTATGGGGCTTTATTATTTTGAAGGAAATAGCTGTGTGGTGAATTTATCAGAGAACAGAAAAGTATAACTAAGCCACGTAGTGGCTGGTAGTGTTGACTTTACCCAGGCTGCACAGGATGTCACATCACAAACTGCACCCCTTCAGCTCCCTAGAAATGGTTGTGGAAACACACACCTTATTTTCATTACAATTCTGAGCCTTTTTCCACACTCCTTTCACCTCTGTGAGTCCAGCAAATTTTCCAGTTTTTTAGGTGTGTTCTGGTTTCCAACTTGTCTAAAAGCTTTCATCTTAATTTTTGCCTTTAGCATTTTGCTCCTACCGTTCCCTCAGTTTCCTTCCTGAAGACCACCTGCTTTGACTTCAGAAGCGCTCAAATGCACTGCTCCCTTCCCCTTCCCCTTCCCCCTCCCTTTCCCCTTCCCCTTCCCCTTTCCCTTTCCCCCTCCCCTTCCCTTTTCCCCTTCCCCTTTCCCTTTCCCTTCCCCTGGCATACCTGCCCTCTGGGACTGTCTCAGATCATCTTTCAGTAGCATTTGTGCCAAGGGAAAGGAGTCTAATTTCCTCACTTCTGATAAAGAGGTATTTTGACTAGTTCCTTCCTTATCACTGCTAACTCCTTCCTCACCTAGGATGTGCTGTCACTCTGCTGGGAGGCTTCCCCCTCACTGCACAGTTGAATTTAATTACACCACAGCCACCCTCATTACACAATTGAACTGCACTTGCTTTAACCAGCTCTGGTGGGTTATTCAGGAACAAGCAAACCCCACCCTCCTCCTCCCCTTATGTTCTCTTACCTCTTCAGGTATTTTGGAAACAAGTATGAAGCCATTGTTATCAAGGAGGAAGCAATTCAGAATCTGCAGAGATGAAAGAGAATCAATATTAAAGATGGCTTTTATTGTGTTTGTACGTACGTGCTCAGGATGGGGCGGTGTGGGATTGTGATGATGGCAACAGCCTCGGCATTTCTGTGCCAGCCCCACAGCTCAGCTACCACGGGTTTTACACAATTGACTTTTCCCTCTCTGCCTCCATTTTGAGGTATTTAGTTCATGAGCTGACAGAGAGTGTCTCTTGCCAGAGCTGCATGCAGGCCTAGCAGGCTGTGAGACACACTTAAGACAAGGCATCCTTCAGGAAGAGACAGGATGTTTGGAGAGCTCTTCTCTTTAATAACATGGTATCTAATGCCTTCCATCTTTAGGTTTCAGAATTTTTTAACCACTCATGAAATAACCCTCTCCTCATCACCCAGTATCAGTGCTGATCTTATTTTTATTTTGCAGAGCAGGAAACAGTGGCACAGAGTTTAGATGAAAACCCTTAGGTTTTGCAGAGAAAAACTAGGGTGCAGAGGAAATCCTACATGAACATTCAACAAGAAATCTCTGGTGATCCCACTCTTCAGTACAGGAGCTCCTGTCTCAAATATTCCTCGGAACAAGGTTGAAGAAGTGGCTTAAACACAAAGAGAGGTGTCCAGCACACATCATTAGAGTGGCATGATAATCACTCTTTCCTGTTCATCATCAGGATGTTCATCATCATGCTCAACATCATCTGGGATGCCAGGGAGACAGAGCAGACAGACTTTCCTTAGAGTCACTGGCTGGAACCCCCATGCCCCTGTCTTGGCCCAGCTGGCATCTCACAGCTGATGGGAAGACCCAAACTGCAAACTTTTCTCATTAGCATGAGGTCCTCCCCCAGCTGTGCAATCTCTTGCGAGGAAACAACAGGAAATACCTTCCTTTTGGGGAGACAGAGATCTCCATAGAGCAGGTAAGTCAATCCCACCCATCACAGATACAGAGAAGGAAACTGGGCAACTTACATCATCCTGACAGCTGAGTGGACAGGCACCATCAAAGGCACTGCACTGGAAAGGAAAAGCAGAGCATTAACTGTGGTGTTTAGGAAACTTTTCTGTCTGATCATGCAGGAGCCACTCTGGCATTCATGCTCCTGCTACCAGAGACTTTCACCATTGGGACTGAAGCCCCTTTGCAGCTCCAGTGACCCAGTGGGTTGCCACTTGACTCCCTACACACCCCACTCTCACATGACAAGTTTTCCCTACTGGTTTGACTGCAGGTTTGCCATTGGAGAGTCTCAGACCTCCAGAACCTTAAAACAATTTATTCATGGTGCAGAAACACAGAAACAGCTTGAGATGGTGCCTCTGAGGAGGGACCCTGAATGAATTAAACCCTGGTCTTTTATAGCCTCACAGTCGATTTGTGTGATAGTCTGGAATCGTCCTGGTAGGACAGTGGCTCCTGCTGTGCCTCTGGGTGGCTGGACACCTGGCTGGCCCACAGGACCCTGTGCCCTTTGCTGTGCAAAGGGTCAGTGCCAGTTCAAGGCCCCTTGTCTTGGGCTCCCACCACCCAGAGCTCAACCTGCAGCTGCCCCCCGAGCTACCTGCACTGAATGTATCCCTCAGCACACGGCATGATCTCATCTTACGGCCTCCCCTTTGGGACTGCCAAGATAAAAGGTCTCCATAATGGCATCCCATAAAGCTCTGCAATTCAGCTGGTATTTCCTAGATAAGCTCTACAGCAGGCACAGGCACCATTTCCCAAGTTGGCCACTTGGTAGCTCTTTGTATTCTCCACCTCCCCGAGCAACATCCCCTTTGCTGAGGGCTCTGATCCTGCACCTGCCCCCCTGACATGCTTCCAGCAGTACCTATGCACTCCAAGCAGAGGTGCCACTTGTCAAGAAAGGGTAAAAGTGAAGGTTACCGTGCACCAGTGAGAAACCTGAATGCATTTCAGCATCTGTTAGTATCCAGACTAAGCGTATTTTAGATCAGGATTCTTCTTAGGCAGGGATTTTTTTGTTGTTGTTGCTGTTGGTTTCTTTAATCTCCAGACAGCTAATGATAAAATAGGATGTGAATGGTGCTCATGTAGCCCAAGGCACCATCCATTTGTTTCATTTAGGATTTTTGCGTACTGGACCTGACATGTGTTTCACAACACTGATCCGGGTGGGAACATGAGGGGTTAAGTGGTGAGTAACAAAGCCCTTCAGGTGCTTATTGATTTCATAATTGTTTGGAGTTGGCCGTGGCTGCATGTGTCTGTCTCTTCATATTATTTTTTAATTCCATTCTCTCCAGCAGCAGAGGGAAGAAAGCTGACATGGTGTTGCCATTTCTGTACATGGGGTCCCCTTCCTGCCAGAGGATTTCTGGGGTCAGGGAAGGACACTGGCATAGCACATAGCCTGTTTTCTCTCAGCCAGCTACCCTTTATTTTCTCAAAACCCTTAGACATAAACTCCAACCCCCTTCCTGGATGATTCTCAGTAACAAGAGGAGCATTTGCCATTTCAGACCACAACAAGACCATAACTTTCAGTTAGAATTTGTTTCTCCTCTTGAGCTTTGCAGAACAAACCCAGTAGTTTCAGTTTGCTGTCCTTCTGCTTAACTTCAGAGGAGGCTGGGAGAGGCCTGAGTTTGCCTCAAGCCCCACGGCTTTGCGATTTCACATGTTCACACTCTGAATCCAGCTGGCTTTTTGAGTCTCTAGGGATGCTGGTTTAAGAACGTTCCTTTATCCACAGTTGCAAGCACCATCTCACCCCTGCCTCACCACAAAACAGCGTGTGGTTGTTTTGTTTCCCTGGATGTATTCCTAGAGGTGGCCCTGAACTTCACCCTGGTGGTTTCCTTCCTTTGGTCAGCAGAGAAATGTGGCCACAACAAACCACTATAATGGCCTTGGGGGATAACAAATACAGAGATCAGAGTTCAGAAATCAGAACAGAAACCCAGGTGAACCAGAGTGGTTTCCCACAAGCAGGGCCTGTGTCTCGCAGCATCTTCCTCAGCAGCGTGAGGACCAAGTCTCACTGCCGCTGCTCTGCCAGACCTGGAAAAGTTCCAGCAGTGCCCAGTGCTGGGCTGGCCATACAGCAGCAGCACCACAGTGAGGACCCTGGTCTGAGAGCACTGGCAGCTTGCAGAGTCTCTGAGGTAGGGGCAGAACTGAACCTGTGTTCCCTGGTTGCTCTGAGACCACATCTGCTGCGTCGGGCACAGCTCCCTCCTCAGAGACCAGAGTACCTCACAGCATCCTCCTGCTGCTGGTCAGGTCTCTGTGACCCAGAGCACTTTCAGCTTTGCCAAAGACACTTAATTACTGTGAAGACAAACACAGCCTCTGACAGGTCTGGACCATCTCCAGTGACTACAGACAGGGGACAGTGCCTATAATACGCTGGCACACAAACGACACAATTACGAAGCCAAGCTGCGGCGAGGCCACGCCAGGATGCCTCCCTGTCCCCAGCTTTTGTCTACTTACATCACTGTCATTGGGCTGGGAGACGGGAGGCACAGTGTGGACACCCAGAGAGGCACAGCATGCAGTGAAGCAGGAGAGGGAGAGAGAGAGAAAACAAAATCTCTTAGTCATTCCTCTGTCAAACGGCGGTCACGTCCTGGGAAAGCACACACACGCTCTTTTCATACCAGCACCTACCAGGGCCACAGCCTGCAGGCACGTGGCACACAGGCCTCCTTTAGCTTCTTTAATAAGGCTTCTCAGTTTCACTTAACGACCATGAGGGCTGGTTTCTGTGAGAACTCTCTGGGTATGGCCCTCAGGAGACTTTTTTAAAATGATGCTCTCTGTTGCTGCTTCAGGATGCTCTCATATGCTTTGCAGGAGTCTTTTTAACTCAGGTTAGATTTACGTGATCTGCCCTGCTGTGAGGGTGCTCCTGCCCCCACAGCCAGCTCTGGGATTTTTTGTTCCCCACGTGTTCTCACTCCCAGTGAGCAGCTTCCCGCCCTTCCATCTTCTCTGTCATCCCTATGTGATGACAGTTCCCTCCCCTGACAGCAAAGAGCCGCTTCTCCTCTGTGCTGCTTTAGTCCTGTCAAAATCACCCCTCCAGTAGACCTCCCTGAAAGAAAAGCCTGGGCAGAAAGCCCCTGGGTGGTAAGGGAAAGGTGTTTCACTTTTCCTGCTTCTCAGACTGGGGGGGAGATGTTTTAATCACTCCACTCTCACAGTCCAGCAAGAGTGTCCAAAATTAGGACAGCACCAAAAGCCTATCCTTGAGGCACATAATTTTTATTTTGGCAAGCTGGTATTGTATTGTTATCATTATCAAGATGATAAGAGGAGGCAGTAGACTTTTTTTTCCTGCATGCCCAAAACTGCAGATTTCCATGAGGTTTCTGAAAGGCTGAATGAGCACAAACATATTTCCACAATTAAATGTGTCATATGCAGCAGACCTAATGCCAGGCCAGGATGCTGACACTGTCAACATGGCATTTGCAGAGCAGACTCACGGCTCACAAGGCATTAGTGCCGTCAAAGGATTACAGAAATGTGTGACTTCAAACTAATCTACTTCATAAATCATTTAATATGAATTTTGCAAAAGCCCTCATCAAAATGCCGTCGTATGTGATGTAACATAGTATCGACCTTGCTGACAAAGAGCATTAAATTGTCTCTCTGCACGACTGCTGACGCTCCTACCTGTTGCATGGCCATCCAAAACTTGCGTTGGAGCAACTCCAGCTTAATTTGCACACCCACTGCTGTGGGAAACAAAAAAGAGGGGAGGATGAAGAGAGGAATGTGCAAGAGAGGAGAGACAAGTACAAGCTAGAAAAAGAGGAGTAAACATTTGCCCAAGGTGATGGCATGGAAATCACAATTGCAACCTGCTTCCAAGTGTGAAAGATAAGCATCAGGGTATCAGCACTGAGTCAGACTGCCAAGTGAGAGTCAGAGGTTTAACAAGGGCGAAGAAAAGGGGACGCTGACTGTACTGAGGTACTGAGACCTCCCTCACACTAAGCACTATGAAGCTACAAGCAAATTAACAAAAAATAAAAATTCCTCCCAAGACCCCCAACCAGGATACCATGAACTTTCCTCTTTGCCTTTTTCAGATTTGCCTGGCCAGAATGGATGTTTGTGATCACCCTGGCCCCGAGTCCTGCACCACGCAGCATCAATCAGAAATAAAGTAGGCCAGTGTGAGGAAGCGATTAATTTGAAAACCCACCTGTCTCGAGGGGGAATCACAGAGATTTAGATTGCTCCTAAGCCACTACAAATGCACAGAATTATGAATGCCACTTGACAGAAGGTGTGATTAGGAATAGCGATTTGTTACCCGGTCCCAGCCTAGCGCACGGTGGGCTAAGCAGAACTCCGTGTGTGTGTGTGTGTGTGTGTGTCTCTTAATGAAGTGTGTCCTAATTTCTTGGCTTAATTTCTCTTCTATTCCCAGCATCATGTTCCTGAAGTAAGGCAGGAGAAGGAACGGTGCAGGGTCTCCATAGCAGAGCAACCCAGCTGTCCCCGGATAGGTTGCCTACAAGCACATGTAACAACCAGCGCAGCCGTGCGCAGCCTGGCACGGTGATGGGGAACAACTGGGCTGTGTGTCAGCTAGTTGAATCCTAGAGCTCTGGAGGAATTACAGCCTCGAGCAGGACCTCGAAATAGAATATAAAGTGCAAGTGAGGGAGAAAAAGAAACACGGGGAGGGAGATTCTGAGCCTTTTTTCACAACCGCCAATATCAGGCGCTTGAAGTGATGCCGTTTCTACAGATTTCCTCTGAATTAGAAAGAGCTTCAAAGGGGGGAACAGATCCCTTAAATCTGAATCATGCCGTGTGGGTGCTTTTAAACTAACAGTATGAACTGATGCTCTAATTCAGACGGGTATGAATTAAAGCTGGAGTATGCAATGGTGTATTTTCTTGACGCATGTAGAGAGACCCCGGCACCTGGCATCAGCTCTACCTTTTATACCAGTGTCCTTGTCACATTCCCACTGCTGGTACATCTTACAAAATCCCACGTATCAGAGGCGCACTTCTTAACCTGCCCCTGCCTGCTGCAAACTGAATCTGACTGCCTGTACGTGGGGGAAAGAAATGATTTTGTAGAGCTGCATTGCCCTGAGCCTCACAGAGCACAAACCAGACAAGACAAACAGTGCAAACAAAGGAGGAAGGACAGGTCTGAGTCGAGTCTGGGCGAAGATTCCTCACCTTCAGTGAGGCTACCGCAGGCATGGTTTGGCTTGGTGCCCCTGCTGACAAATCAGCAGTCCATGACAGAAGGGAAACGGTGCTGTTGCTGCTGAGTCCAACGAGGCCCACGCACCCGATTTGGGATGTAGCTTTAAATAAATTCATTGCCATCCTTCCAAACCATCTCAGGAAAGAGCCGTTCCCCTTATCACAGCAGATCACATCAATGGGGCTGAGCACTACCCAGGACACAGAGTTTTTATGAGACCTGAAGAGGAGTGAGTTACCTACATAACTAACCTTGCAATGCAGAGATTTACTCAGCGGCTCGTGTTTTTTGCCAGTGGGAACATTTAGTCTCAAATTGTTCTTCAGAGGGATTTTAGCCCCTGGCTGTGAATCCTTATTTCTGCCCAGGAGGCATGAGTAGCACAAACCAAACCTGGGCAGAGTTGCCTGAAACATGAGGAAGAAGAAGACCTGGGGGTTTGCACGGGTGGCCAGTGGCAGGGACAGCCCTCTTAATTCCTCTTTGCACATTGCAGGGAACCATACTGGGGGGATTGCTTCACATTCCTGCCTGGCAGCACCACTCCTTGCCAGCTGGCACAGATTGACAGCTGCTGGCAAGAACCATGAGAAACTTTCACACATTCAGGTGACCTGAGGAAGACACAGGAACTGAGGAGAAACAGGCCACAACCACCGCCCCTCCCGTGCTAGTAACAAATATTTGCCTGGGCATCTTCACGCTGTTGGTGAAGCCAAGGAGAAAGGAGGAAAGCAGCACTTCAGTCTGAGGTAAGGATGATGCTACAGTTCAGCTGAGAGAGAGAAAACTGAAATAAACCCTTCTGAGCCTGTTCCACAGCATTACTGATTGTTAATGAGCCTTTTTGCTCTGGTGGCAAAAGTAAGCTGCATCAGCGGGAATATCTGAGGTCCATGAAATGATGAGTGGCCGCTGCAGAGTCTTCAGAGAGACCATGGCTAATAGTTTTATTCCTAGTAATGTGCAAGTAACCTGTGCAACTGTAACATCCCAGCAGTGAAATAAAACACAAGGACAAGCACTGCTGAACACCTTGCACAAGCAGACATTGCTTCACTGTGTTGTGCACTACTTCCCACCCTGCCTGCAAACCCATGGCTGCAGTGGGCTCTCTCTGGAGTTGTGCATGGAGACAAGAGAAGAGCCTTCCCCTCCACCTGTTCATCCCTCCATTGAGCATGCCTGCTTCATTAGCTCATCCTCTGCTTGCCTCTCTCTCTATCTGCATTCTCTGGCTTCTCTCTTTGATTTATCCATATGTTGTTCTCATAAGGAGCTTTCCCCAAGATTTAATTCTTGGGCCTGCTGCACAACAAAAAGGCATAACAAAGAGTGGCAAGATTACATCCTGCAGAGTGCTTATCAAGATTTACCTTGCCATTCACAACCTGTTTTCATGGTACACAGTCCAATGGTTAAATAAAACCTGTGATTCAAATAGAAGAAGGTACCAGAGCAGCCATGCCCATACTTGTCTGTTTGCATTTCCCTGTTTCTGAAATATTCCCATTTTCCCTCTCGAGCCAGCAGCTCGAAATCTGACTTTGAGTCCTCTAAAAATTTTACTTAAAAAATAACTTCCAGGCAAATGAAAATGAACAAAAGGCTCAAACCAGCCTGTTTATGACACTGGACATGATAGAAGAGGCAGTTCAGGTAGATCAGCAAAAGAGTCATTTCTGCAAATGTGAGCTACCAAGGTCCTCAGCAAGCTGGAGGGAGGCAAGAGAGGGATCTGATTTTGTAGGAGCCCATGGGAGAGCACAGAGGGAATCCTGATATAGGCAGTGGGCTGGATTCAGCTGTTTACTGCACCCCTGTACCATCAGGCTATGTCAGGGAGGGCAGGGGATGCCTCTGTCACTGCGTGGATATACCCACACCCAACACTTGCACTGGACATACAGCTGAGCACAGTCTCCCTGCTGCACACAAAATTCAGGGGAACGAATAGATGCAAACACTTCCCTCTTTTGCCCATTCCCCTTGTTCCAACTATCCCCTACTAGCACTCCTCAAGTTATCCCTGAATCCCCAAGAAAACAGACACAGGGTTGTGCTGCACCCCAGCAGCTTCTGGGGACACCCGGTGTGGCCGGACAGGATGTGGCCAGCCCACCGTGGGCACCTCTCAGTTAAGTTTCTCTGTTGGACACACTGCCATCCCCCCATCATCTCTGGAGCACTGGTGGAAAGGGGGTGCCCTTCTCCCAGGCCCCCTGGTTTCTCCTCTGCTGTCTCCCCTTCACTGCCGCTGCTCGCCTCACTCCTGTACAAAAGCCAGGGCTCGTCCCTTCTCATCCTCATGCCTTTCTCTCCGGGTTTATTGTCATCAGACATAGCAGGCAGGGGGAGAGACGGAGAGAGAGGGGGAGGTATTCAGCTCGGTGCCTTCTCTTGTAACCTGTGCCTGACCAATCTGCCTCCCGGGGGGCTGTGGGGAGCTCCTCCCGCCCTGGCATCTCCTCACCCCTCCTCGAGCCCCTCGGCTCCTGGCACCCGGAGAGGGATGGCAGCAAGGGCGGGAGGAGGGGGAGAGAGGGACTGACAGCAACTGCCCTTTCTCCAGGATGGGTTGAGAGCAACGAAAACCTCCCGAGCTCCTTCCTCTGGGTGTTTTGGAGCAGATCCTGCCTGCCTGGCGGGGTGACTCCTCTGCACTGTCTGTGCGCGTTCCTGTGCGTGTGCTGCTGCCATCGCAGATGTACCCCCAGCTGTCACTTCACCGCGCACAGTCGCTCCCTCTCCCGCCTCTCTCTCTCTCATTCTCTCTCCCCCTGTTTATTATTTACGGAGGATTACAGTCCCTTTCCCACGCTGTCACCTCGCCGTGCGGCTCCTCTGCCCTCCACGCGGGGTGAGCGACTGGCTAGGGGGGGTTCCTGCCGGCGAGGGTCCACCGAGATCCCGGCTGGCAACAGAGGGACTTTCTGCCGTTTTTGTTTTGGGATTGTACCGGGTTCGCTGGAAGAGCTGCTATTCCTCCCAGGAGGGTCCATTCCAGCCTGAGAGAGGTAAGTAAAGACACCTCTCTTTTGCGTTTTTCCCCCCAACCCCAGCCAAGCGAGATCAGCGGAGCTGCCCCCCAGGAACCCGCTTCCCCGGGGAGCTGAGTGTCAGCAGGGGCAGCGCTGTCTGCCAGACAGCACAGTGCACAAGTCTCGGCTGTGCGAGACTGACGGGCAGCGATCTTCCCGACAAAGCGGAACGGCAAACCTGCTGCAGAGGTGGCTGGGGCTGGTGCCAGTCCAGTTCCCGTGCTGGCTGCGGGGAGCAACTTCTCACGGCTGCGAATGGCACCACCACCTTCTCCTGGACCACGGGCAGCTCAGGTGCAGTTCTGAGGCTACGGGCTTGGTGCTGTGGTCACCAGGTGCCGGGCAGCTCCCAGGGAGCCCCGGCTTTTGTCCCCTCCTCGGGGCTGTGAAAGGGATCAGCATGAGAGGCGGCACTTGCCTGGCCCATGATGACTTTGCTGGCTATCATTTTGGACTC